CCTCCTCCGGTAGACCCCCTCCCCCCTCAGGGTCCTGCTCCCTCAGGTGTGTCTCAGGTAGACGCTGTCGAGCCTGTCGAGGTAGCGGTTGACTCTGGTGCTGCTACTGGGGGTGGTGCTGCTGGGGGTGCTGAGCCTGAGCGTGCGGAGCCTGGGGGTGCTGACCCTGAGCGTGCGGAGCCTGGGGGTGCTGAGCCTGAGCGTGTGGAGTCTGGGGGTGCTGAGCCTGGGGTTGCTGAGCCTGGGGGTGCTCAGCCTGGGGGTGCTGAGTCTGAGGATACTGTGCCTGCGGTTGCTGAGACTGGGGGTGCTGAGTCTGCTGGAGTTCCTGCAGGTGCCTCGTCTCGGCGGGAGCCTCTCTCTCCCCCGCAGCTGCGCGAGTGGTTTGCTCGCCGCTGGAGACTCCAGCGAGGAGCTGCTGGAGCTGGGGGGCCTGCCGCTGGAGCCCCTGGAGCTGGGGCTGCTGGTGCTACTGGAGCTGGACGTGCTGCCGGCGTTGGAGCTGGAGCTGCTGGAGTTACTGGAGCCACTGGTCCCGGAGGTGCTCGTACTGGAGGTACTGGCGCTGCTGGAGCTGGTGCTGCTGCTGGAGCTGGAGGTACTGCTGGTGTTGGAGCTGCTGGAGGTGCTGGAGCCGCTGGTCCCGGAGGTGCTCGTACTAGAGGTACTGGAGCTGCTGGAGCTGGTGGTGCTACAGGAGTTGGAGCTGGAGGCGCTGGAGCTGTTGCTGCTAGAGGTGCTGCTGGAGCTGGAGCTGCGGGAGGTGTTGGAGCTGGTGGTGCTGCAGGAGCTGGAGCTGGAGACCCTGGAGCTGGGGGTACTGGTGCTGTCTCTGCTGGTTCTGGAGGCGCTGCGCGGCCGCGGCCGTACTTCGTTCCACTCCTTCAGCAGGTTCTTGGTCTCCCGCCTTCTACTGGCCTTACTCCTCCCTTACTGTGTCCACCGCCTGACCAGTCGCAGTCGCAGTTACACCCAGCCTCCCCACTGCCTGGTCCTTCTCCTTACACTGGGCCGACCGGAGGTCTTGCGGAGCGTCGTGAGCCTGAGTCTCGTCCTGCGTCGCCTGTTCGCGCTGTTCGCTCTGGTCGTCGTGTTCCGCGTCAGCGTCCTCCTCCTGTCCCCGGCACGCACCAGATGGCACTTCGTCCTTCCTCTGTTCCACTGCATGTCCCTCTGCCGTCTCCTCCTGCGTCCTCTCTTCCTGACGTCTCTGAACCGCCGTCAGACCTTGCTCATGCTGCCAGTCCTACTGTCACTCGTCTTCTAGCTACTGCTGTCACTGGCCCTTCGTTTGAGTCCACTGCTGCGTCTGCCCTAGTTGCTGAGCTTGTTGACTTTGCTGCCACCTGTCGTCTAGACTACGCTGCTAGTCTTGTTGCTGAGTCTGAGTCTGTCTGTCCTCCGTCCGTCGGGGGTGAGTGTGCTCTCGGCACGGACGTCCTTGAGGACAGGCAGGAGGGGTTTGAGTGTTTTGCCGCTGCTTTACCTCATATCGTGTCCATGCTGCTTGTACCTGAGGGAGACCCGGATGCACCAGACATCCCGACCTCGCGCTCTTACGCAGAGGCGATTGAGGGTCCCTACTCCTCTCAGTGGCAGACAGCCATGGACGCAGAGATGGCTTCCTGGAAGTCCACAGGCACCTACGTCGACGAGGTTCCCCCACCCGGGGCGAACATCGTCAGTGGCATGTGGATTTTCAGGGTGAAGCGGCCGCCGGGTTCTCCGCCTGTCTTCAAGGCGTGTTACGTTGCACGAGGCCTTAGTCAGCGAGAGGGAGTTGACTTCTTCTAGACCTTCTCCCCTACCCCGAAGATGACCACTCTTCGGGTGCTGCTGCACGTCGCCGCTCAGCGTGACTACGAGCTTCACTCTCTTGACTTCAGCATAGCCTTCCTACAGGGCAGCCTGCACGAGGAGATCTGGCTGCGCCGCCCACCTGGCTTCACTGGGTCGTTTCCTGCTGGTACCCAGTGGAGCCTCCGGCGGCCAGTCTACGGTCTCCGCCAGGCGCCCCGAGAGTGGCACGACACACTGAGGGCGACTTTTGCGGCTCTTGGGTTTGCTCCTTCCACTGCTGACCCGTCGCTGTTTCTACGCACCGACACCTCTCTGCCGCCGTTCTACGTCCGCGTGTATGTCGACGACTTGGTCTTTGCTACTGCTGACACTGAGGGACTCGCCCACGTGAAGTCGGAGCTGCAGAAGAGACACGCGTGCACAGACCTGGGTGAGCTGCGCAGCTATCTTGGCTTGCAGATCACCCGGGACAGAGCACAGCGCGCCATTACCTAGACTCAGTCACACATGGTGCAGCAGGTCCTTCAGCGCTTCGGCTTCACGTACTCCTCGCCACAGTCCACTCCTCTGCCTACTCGCCACTCGCTCTCAGCTCTGCCTTCGGATGAGTCCGTAGAGCCGAGTGGCCCGTATCCAGAGCTTGTGGGCTGCCTCATGTACCTGATGACCTGCACTCGACCTGACCTTGCCTACCCTCTTAGCATCCTGGCACGCTATGTTGCTCCTGGGAGACACCGGAAGGAGCACATGGATGCCGCTAAGAGGGTGTTGCGCTACTTGTGCAGTACGTCGGGCATGAGGCTCGTGCTTGGAGGACGGGCTCGAGTTGTCCTCACTGGTCACGCAGACGCTTCCTGGGTTGACGACTTGGCTACGCAGCGGTCGCCACAGGGTTACACTTCCAGTCTTGGCTCCGGCTCTGTTTCGTGGCGGTCTACCCGCTCGTCTTCTGTTCTCAGCTCCAGCTGTGAGGCTGAGATCTGCGCAGGGCCCATGGCTGCACAGGAGTTACGCTGGCTCACCTACCTGCTGACCGACCTCGGAGAGCCGCCTCGTTCTCCTCCAGTTCTGTACGTCGACAACAAGGCCATGATTGCCTTGTGTCAGGAGCACAGACTGGAGCACAGAACGAAGCACATCGCTCTGCGCTACTTCCTTGCTCGAGAGTTGCAGCAGCGTGGTCAGCTTTGTCTTGCTTACGTGGCCACTCGGGCCAACACTGCTGATATCTTCACCAAGGCACTTCAGCCTTGTGATCATCAGCGTTTCTGTACTGTTCTAGGCCTTGTGCCCACTTGGCCTCACTTGCTCACTTCTTGACTTTGCTTGTACTGTGATCTCTATACATATACCTGCATGCTTACACTTGCTAGGTTGTGATCACTGTATTGCTTGTTCTCCTTTATATAACTGTGCATGTGAACTGGCCTTGTGGCCATTTGCTTGTGCTCAGAATGCGTGGTGACTTCGTGATCCACCCTGAGCTTGCTTTGCTTTTCTTGACTGGTCTTGTGACCTCTTGTTCTCCCCCACTTTGCCTATGGGGGTGTGTCAAACTTATATGCTATAGTCTGTGTAGGCTGTAGTGGGGTAGCCCATATGGGGTACAACACATTTAGGGTTTCCTACTTGTACCCACATAGCTGCTAGTTTCCATCATTCTCGTTTTCTATCTTTCACACTTCCACCTTAGCAAATGTGTTTAGAATTGTGGGACTATGTGAAGAAATGATTTCACCCTTATCCATACCACATGGATGTTGCCCATCACACTCACCTCCTCTTAAATGCTACCCTGACAACCTATTTTTTTCACATCACTAAGGGGCATGTGAGGTGAGCAATATCCCCAACCCCAAACAACAACATGGCTTGCAGTTTACAGTCCGACTTTTTATAGTTGCCACCCCATGATACTGCTCGCAGGTTTGTGAATCTTGACATATTGTGTTTCACCGTAAGTTCTCATTTTACTGCTCCATGAAAGATTGTTATCGTGCCTGACGATAATTCGTACTATGTCGGTCTGGTATCTACTCACAATTCGACGCTCAACCTACGTAATCTCTACAAACATCTATGCCATAGTTATGCAACGCTCAACCTACGTAATCTCTACAACCATAAACATCTATGCCATAGTTATGCATTGTTCATTCGTGTCTGCAACCGGAACCAAATCTCGTATTCTAAGTTCCCCGCCTAGCTAGGTGCCGTGCTAGGTTATTGCTTCATTGTTTGCTCATTAGTTGTAATCGCAACGTTATTAAATTACACACTACATTCATTTAGAACTCATTACACTTGGTATCAGTGCTACTTTCCTACCATCGTCCCCTGTATAGAATCCCAAACATATGTTACATCCATGCGCCTATAATCAAACTAGTGTCTTTATATCCAGTTGCCAATTATAAGTCCACCCAAGATTTGGACCATCTTTATTAAGCCCACCCCCATGGTTCCTTCTACAATCCCATGCATCTACACTATGTTAGAAAGAAGAAGTGTTGAACTAGAAACAAGTGAGAGTACAAATATGCAAACCTAGAGTTGTGAACCCCCTATAGGCTAACCCACTGTAGCCTACAATAATGTAACCCATATAACATTTGACACACCCCCATAGGCAAAGTGGGGGAGAACAAGGGGTCACAAGACCAGTCAAAGCAAAGCAAAGCAAAGCAAGCTCAGGGTGGATCTCAAGGATACCACACAAATTCCGAGCACAAGCAAGTGGTCACAAGACCAGTTCACATGCAGTTTGATAATATAACAAGAGGTACAGTGATCACAACCTAGCAAGTGTAAGCATGCAGGTATATATATAAGGATCACAGTACAAGCAGAGTCAAGAAGTGAGCAAGTGAGGGAGAGTAGGCACAAGGCCTAGAACAGTACAGAAACGCTGATGATCACAAGGCTGAAGCGCCTTGGTGAACACATCAGCAGTGTTGGCCCGAGTGGCCACGTAAGTAAGACGAAGCTGACCACGCTGCTGCAGCTCTCGAGCAAGGAAGTAGCGCAGAGCGATGTGCTTCGTTCTGTGCTCCAGTCTGTGCTCCTGACACAAGGCAAGGGCGGCCTTGTTGTCGACGTACAGCACTGGAGGAGAACGAGGCCGCTCTCCCAGGTCGGTCAGCAGGTAGGTGAGCCAGCGTAGCTCCTGGGCAGCCATGGCTGTGGCGTAGATCTCAGCCTCACAACTGGAGCTGAGAACAGAGGAAGAGCGTGTAGAGCGCCAGGAAACAGAGCCAGAGCCAAGGCTGAAGGTGTAACCCTGAGACGACCGCTGCGTAGCCTGGTCGTCAGCCCAAGAAGCGTCTGAGTGTCCAGTGAGGACAACGTCGCGCCGTCCTCCAAGCACAAGCCCCATGCCCGACGTACTGCACAAGTAGCGCAACACCCTCTTAGCAGCATCCATGTGCTCCTTCTGGTGACGGCCAGGAGCGACATAGCGTGCTAGGATGCTAAGAGGGTATGCAAGGTCAGGTCGAGTGCAGGTCATCAGGTACATGAGGCAGCCCACAAGCTCTGGATACGGGCCACTCGGCTCTACGGACTCATCCGAAGGCAGAGCTGAGAGCGAGTGACCGGTAGGCAGAGGAGTGGGCTGAGGCGAGGAGTACGTGAAGCGGAAGCGCTGAAGGACCTGCTGCACCATGTGTGACTGAGTCAAGGTGATGGTGCGCTGTGCTCTGTCCCGGGTGATCCGCAAGCCAAGATAGCTTGTCAGCTCACCCAGGTCTGTGCACGTGTGTCTCTTCTGCAGCTCCGACTTCACGTGGGCGAGTGCCTCAGTGTCAGCAGTAGCAAAGACCAAGTCGTCGACGTACACGAGAACGTAGAACGGCGGCAGAGTGGTGTCGGTGCGTAGAAACAGCGACGGGTCAGCAGTAGAAGGAGCAAACCCAAGAGCCGCAAGCGTAGTCCTCAGTGTGTCGTGCCACTCACGGGGTGCCTGGCGGAGACCGTAGACTGGCCGCCGGAGGCTCCACTGGGTACCAGGAGGAAACGAACCAGTGAAGCCAGGTGGGCGGCGCAGCCAGATCTCCTCGTGCAGGCTGCCCTGTAGGAACGCAGTGCTGAAGTCAAGAGAGTGGAGCTCGTAGTCACGCTGAGCAGCGACGTGCAGCAGAACCCGAAGAGTGGTCATCTTCGGGGTCGGGGAGAAGGTCTGGAAGAAGTCAACTCCCTCTCGCTGACTGAAGCCTCGTGCAACGTAACGCGCCTTGAAGACAGGCGGAGACCCCGGCGGCCGCTTCACCCTGAAAATCCACATGCCACTGACGATGTTCGCCCCAGGTGGGGGAACCTCGTCGACGTAGGTGCCTGTGGACTTCCAGGAAGCCATCTCTGCGTCCATGGCTGTCTGCCACTGAGAGGAGTAGAGACCCTCCATCGCCTCTGCGTAAGAGCGTGGGGTCGGGATGTCTGGTGCATCCGGGTCTCCCTCAGGGGCAATCAGCATGGACACGAGATGAGGTAAAGCAGCAGCAAAGCACTCAAACTCCTCCTGTCTGTCCTCAAGGACGTCCGTGCCAAGAGCACACTCACCCCCGACGGACGGAGGACAGACAGACTCAGACTCAGCAACAAGGCTAGCGGCGTAGTCTAGACGACAGGCGGCAGCAAAGTCAACAAGCTCAGCGACTAGAGCAGACGCAGCAGAGGACTCAAAGGAAGGGTCAGTGACAACAGTGGCAAGGAGACGCGCGACAGTAGGACTGGCAGCACGAGCAAGGTCTGACGGCGGGTCAGCAACGTCAGGAAGAGAGGACGCAGGAGGAGACGGCAGAGGGACACGCTGTGGAGTAGTGGAAGGACGCAGGGTCATATAGTGAGTGCCAAGGACAGGAGGAGGACGCTCACGCGGAACACGACGACCAGTGCGGGCAGCGCGGACAGGCGACTCTGGACGAGACTCAGGAGACGCAGGACTAGACTCAGGCGACAGAGGACAAGACTCAGGCTCACGACGCTCCGTAAGACTACCCGTCGGCGCAGTGTAAGGAGAAGGAGCAGGCAGCGGAGAGGCAGGCTGTAACTGTGACTGCGACTGGACAGACGGTAGGCTCAGTAGGGGAGGAGAAGGACCAGTAGAGGGCGAGAGACCAAGGACCTGCTGAAGGAGCGGAACGTAGTACGGCCGCGGCCGCTCAGCACCTCCAGCTCCAACCCCCTCAGCAGGCCCAGTCCCAGCAGCTCCAGTACCTCCAGTACGAGCACCTCCAGGACCAGTGGCTCCAGCAGCTCCAGCAGCACCAGCACCAGCAGCACCTCCAGCAGCGCCAGCAACACCAGCACCAGCAGCACCTGCAGCAGCGCCAGCAGCACCGCCAGCAGCAGCAGCACCTCCAGCAGCTCCAGCACCAGTAGCACCTCCAGCAGCGCCAGTAGCACCGCCAGCAGCAGCAGCACCTCCAGCAGCTCCAGCAGCACCAGCACCAGCAGCACCTCCAGCAGCGCCAGCAGCACCGCCAGCAGCAGCAGCACCTCCAGCAGCTCCAGCACCAGCAGCACCTCCAGCAGCTCCAGCAGCACCAGCACCAGCAGCACCTCCAGCAGCGCCAGCAGCACCGCCAGCAGCAGCAGCACCTCCAGCAGCTCCAGCACCAGCAGCACCTCCAGTAGCGCCAGCAGCACCGCCAGCAGCTCCAGCACCAGCAGCACCTCCAGCAGCGCCAGTAGCACCGGCACCAGCAGCACCTCCAGCAGCGCCAGCAGCACCGCCAGCAGCTCCAGCACCAGGGTCCGTGACACTAGGAGCGCCACTCCGGAGACTGCAGCGCCGAGCGTACCACTCTCGGAGCCGCTCGGGAGAGGGCAGCTCCCGCCTAGGAGGGGAAGCACGAGCACCAGCTCCAGCAGCGCTCCTAGCTCCAGAAGCACCCCTCCTGAGGCTGCAGTACTGTAAGTACCACTCACGCAGCTGCTGTGAGGAGAGAGCTCCCCCAGGTGTAGCACTCCCAGGCTCAGCACCCCCAGACTCAGCACCCCCAGACTCAGTACCCGCAGGCTCCGCACCCCTAGGCTCAGCACCCCCAGGCTCAGCACCCCCAGACTCCGCAACCCCAGGCTCCGCATCCCCAGGCTCCGCACCCCCAGGCTCCGCACGCTCAGGCTCAGCACCCCTAGCAGGACGAGAGTCGACAGCTACCTCGACAGGCTCAACCGGGTCTACCTGGGACACACCTGAGGGAGCGGCACCCTGAGGGGGGAGGGGGTCTACCACAGCAGCACCTGGCGCGAGGAAGAGAGGCGGGGGGGGGAGCGGGGCAGTGCGGTAGGGGAAGAGGCGGTAGTAGGGCACCGACTCGTCAAAAGTGACGTCCTGAGAGGGCAGGACACGGCGCGAGGTGGCGTGGTAAAACTGCCAACCAGACGCGTCCGGGACAAAGCCAAGGAAGACACAAGGAACAGCGCGGGAGGAGAGCTTGTCCGCGGACGTATCGCGGACAAAAGCTCGAGATCCCCAGACCCGGAAACGCGACGCATCGCCAACCTCTCCCGTCCACAGCAGTGTGGGCGAGGTCTCCGGCAAGGAGACACGGGGCCAGAGGTTGAGCTGATGCGCAGCGTACCGGACCGCAAACGGCCACAGAAAGTGGGGGGCAGCCGCATGGATCAAGGAGGTACGAGCGACCTCCATGACCAAGCCAATGCGGCGCTCAGCAACCCCATTCTGCTGTGGAGAGGCCGGAAGCGTGAACGACTGGCGGATGCCGTGCTCCGCACAGTAGGCGCCAAGAGGTCGGAGGAGAACTCACCACCTCTGTCAGAGTGCAGACGCAGGACAGGAAAGTCCGAGTGGAACCGCTCGCTGAGCTGGAGACGAGAAGCGCGGATCCAAGGGATCAAAACATCAGGGACCTCACCCTTGGTGCGCAAGGGGAAGACCGTGGTGTAACGCGTGTAGTCGTCAACAACGATCAGGAAGTACCTCTCCTGACCCTGTCCACGGACGCGGGCTGGGCCCCACACGTCTATGTGGAGCGTCTGCAAGGGAGCAGTCGTCGGGGGAAACGAGGAGGAGTGAGGAGCGGCGCGCTGCCGCCCCTCGACACAGGGAAGACAGGGAGGAGCAGGAGAGGGTGGGAGGGGAGGGAGTACCCGGGGAAGACCAGAGACAAGGTACCGTTTGTGCATGCCACGAAGGCGCTGCACTGACGGGTGACCAAGGCGGTGGTGCCAGAGGAAGGTCTCGTGTGCTAGAGAGCGACACGAGCAGGGGGCCGACAGCTGACCTGAAGCAGACGCAGACGCAGCTACCTGAGGGGACTCAGTGGTCAGTGTGTACAGGTCCGACCCCGGCTGCCGAGTGAAGGTAGCCAGGTGACGGCCCGTCCGAGCACACGTGCAGTGTGTCACGCGCTCGTAGGCAGGGGTGAACTGGTGGACACCCCCGTCCTGGAGCGCACAACCCGCCACCAAGTTCGTAGAGAACGAGGGGAGGTGGAGACCTGACAGTGTGCCCGACGCGCAGGACAAGGAAGGACAGTGGAGGAGGTCGCAATGACCGGACCCCCAGAGGGGTCAGCAAGGGAGACAGCAACTGGCCGAGCAAGCTGCTCAAGGGCAGTGCGGTCACGAAAGAAACAGCGAGAAGCACCTGAGTCCAGTGTGAAGGTGTGCAGTGCCTCAGTAGACTCAGTACCAGAGGGGGCAGACTCACTAGCACCTAGAGCAGCAGCCTCACCAGCACCTGGGGCAGCAGACACGCGAGTACGTGGAGCGGCAGCCTCACCAGCACCTAGGGCAACAGACGCACTAGCACCTAGAGCGGCAGCCTCACTGGTCCGAATGCCCGGGTCGGGCGGAACACGCAGGTACTGATCACCCTCTCCACTAGTAGACAACACATACATGGCAGTGAGAATAGCATCAAAGTCAAGAGCATAGATATCAATGTTCTTCTTCATCAGGTCAGCCCAGCGGGGCAGCTCAGTGGCAGCAGGGAACTGAGTGCGCCAAGCGTCGTCAAGGCGGGAGAAGCAGCGCTGCGTGGTGTGCGCCCTCCCACACGTCTGGCAAGTGCGGTCACCAGTGCGGATGACGTACGTGTAGCTAAGGCCACCCCCCCCCCCCCCCCCCCCCCCCGTGCTGAGAGTACCACTCACGAAGCTCCTGGGACGACGGAGTGTGCTGCTGGCTCTGGCCACCGCCAGCGCCTCCACGACCACCACCGCCGCCGCCACCACCTCGACCACCACCGCCCCTGCCGCCTCCGCGTCCACCGCCACCCCAACCACCGCCCCCACCCCGGCCACCTCCTCCGCAGCTGCCGCCACCACCCCCACCGCTGCCACTAGCCCCTCCAGTCCCGCCACCGCCCCCACCGCCGCCTCCCCCGCCGTCACCTCCACCTCCCTTGCCCCCTTTGCCCTTGCCGCTGCGGCGCCAGCTCGGAGCGGACGCAGTCCCGACCTGCTCAGTACCAACGAGGTCGACAGCAGCAGCAGAGGCGACAGAGGGGAGAAGGGGGGAAGGGGAACACCCCTCGAAGAAAGGGGTGCGGGGGTCGCCACGAGAGGCAGCTACAGCGACTATGCTAGTCTCAGCTGCAAGCAGTTCCTTCTCGAGCAGGTCAACGGTGAGCTCAGTGGGGCAGCGAGCGAGGAAGTGGTCCCTGACCAAACGAAGAGAGTCAGGGAGACGGTTGACCAGGTGGTAGAGAGTGAGCCAGAGCGGGGGGGGGTGGGTGGCAAGAAACTCAGCGGGCATAGCGGCACGGAAGCGGGCCTCACTAGTGCGGAGGTGCGTGATGAGGTCAGCGACTGTGGAGAAAGCGGACAGGTCGGGGAACAGGTAGGGGAGCGAGAGACGGCCTAGCGCAGCAGAGGCAGGTGAGGAGTAGCGTGCCACTACAGCAGTGTACAGTGCCTGCGCAGTCTTGTGCTGGCTAAAGTGCTCACGCTCATCGATCGGCAGGGAGTTGCGAATAGCGAAGCGTGTGTGGGCGTCACGAGTCTGCCACTGTGAACGGGAAGTACTGTCAGCAGTAGCAGCAGGGGCAGCAGCATGGCCTAGCGCGTGATCATACAGTGAGATATCCTCCTTGGCAGTGAGCTGGAGGAATAGGGGCAGGTCATCGAGCCAGGTCTCAAACTTCAGTGGGCGGCCCTCAGCATCGAAAGCTAGCACAGCAGGGCTAGCCATAGTAGCAGTAGGAGCAGTAGCAGTAGCAGTAGCAGTAGGAGCAGTAGTAGTTGGTGGGGCACAGTAGGGCGGCGCGGCTCGGTTCGGGCGGCGCGGCTCGGTTCGGGCGGCGCGGCTCGGTTCGGGCGGCGCGACTCGGTCGGGCGGCGCGGCTCGGTTCGGACTACGCGGCACGGCGCAACTGTGGGCCTACGTGTGGGTGGGTGTAGCGGGTGGGTCGCGGCCGTGCGTGGGCTGTAGTCGCGCGCGGGCGGCTGCCTAAGAGGGCGTCGCGGCGGTCTACGGGCGGGGCTGCAACGCTCTGAACGGCGAGGTGGGCGGCTGACGGGCGGCTAGCGGGCTGCTCGTCGGCGGCACTGGTCCTCGCGGGCGGCTAACGATCGGCGCGCGCGCAGATAAGGCCGCGCGCGGGCTGCTAGCGGGCGACGCGCGCTAAAGAAAAAGAGGCCGCGTGCGGCACTAGTGAGCTGCGCACGGGCAGTAGGAAACAGCGAGGCGCACGAGGGCGCACTAGGAGAAAGGCGCTCGAGGGCGCTTCTAGCGGAACGGTGGGCCCTTAGGTAAGCGATCCTAGGTCTAAACCTACGCTCTTAATACCATGTTAGAAAGAAGAAGTGTAGAACTAGAAACAAGTGAGAGTACAAATATGCAAACCTACAGTTGTGAACCCCCTATAGGCTAACCCACTGTAGCGTACAATAATGTAACCCATATAACATTTGACACACTATTCATTTCAAGATTTTTTTAGAAATCCTAATCAATTTTGTTACTAACCACATGAATTTTTATATACCGTACTATGCCTAGAACCCCTACTCTAGTAGTCATCGCCTGCAACGACGGGATCCCTACTCTAGTAGTCGTTGCCCTCAGCGGACGAGTCATCCAGGTCCTCGTAAAAAAGAACGGGATCCGTAGTCGTTGCCCTCAGCGGACGAGTCATCCAGGTCCTCGTAAAAAAGAACGGGATCCGTACTCTAGTCATTGTTCCTGAAGAAGCAATCCGCCATCTCTTCATCGTAGTCAACAAGTTCATTCGACGCCTTCTTTGTTGTAGTCGGAGGGTTCTCTCGAGTTAGAAGCTACGAGGCCATCTTAGTCGTAGTCAACAAGTTCTCTCGAGCAGCGCACTTCATCCCCACGCACGACAAGGTCACAGTAGAGGAAGTTGCAACACTGTTCGTGTATAACGTAGTCCGATTGCACGAAGTTTTTGGACAAGAAGTTGAGCATGACCCGCATATAACAACACGCAGAAGTAGTCCACAGTCATGCCACCGTTTTTCGCACTTTGCGGCCAGCACCCAAATGTCTCCACTCCTATCGATCACACACCCATGGTCCCTCGTGCGGACAACTTCCATCAGCATCTCACCTTCATTTATGAGCATGTGAGGGAGCACCTTGAGCTCGATAATGCCTTCATGGCAATATTATCCAATCCCCAACCGAGTTTCTTCGCACATTTCGCAAATACTTCCTTTGCCATAGGCTTCCGCCATGTTTCATCCTCGACTTAGTCGACCCCGCTAATCCTTACCGGATTCATTCTAAGGGGCATAACAACACCTGCCTACTGCACTTTGTTGAAGCACACATAGCACACAATAAGGAAGAGAATAGGTTGAAACTCGAATTAGATTTTTTTTCATATTTTTTTTTCAGGAGGAGAAATTGCAATATACCATGCTAAAAACATAATCCATCCATCCTAACCATGCTTGAAGGCCTATGTATAGCACACCGTATCCTCGCAGAAACCTCTTCGGTGATTCAATTTCTAGGTGCCTAAAATTTTGCAACATGCTCGTTCAGAAATTTATTGCACCGTTGGCACATTTTAGTCCCGTCGGAATCACATCAGTGCAGCTTTGGCACTTCTGTTGCTTTGGGCTTGTTGAAGTTTCAGACCTGCCCTGTCAAGTGTGGTAGGGCTCAACGGGGTGCCTTGTTCTCCCAAAACTTGAGAAACCTTTTGAGTTGAATTGCCCTGTAAGATCCGAGACCACTCATGACTGGAATGTCATTCTCGCCGGATTCGATCGCACTCTTGACCGGAGTTGGTGTGTGAAAGAACTCAACGCATCGAGGGGATAAAGCAGCTGCTGCCGCACCTTCTCTCACCTTCTCGTGAATGCCATTAGAATATTGCCGCAACTCCTTATGCGTAAGAGTAGCACGACGTCGTAGCTTGTTTTCTTTTAGCATCGTGATACTGTTTGGAAGGCCAATTATTGTAGGATCCGTCGTTATACTGTTATAGGCGTCAACAATCCCGGCCTTGTTGTCATTTAGAAATCTAGGAAGTGTGTATTTCTTGAATGAATCTGTAGTCGTGAAAAAGACGGGCATTTCTTCACAATCCACCATTGTAAAAATATATATTCCTTTGAAATCCGACGATCCAAATTTGAAGTATGCCTTCATCGTAGCCTCCCGTGATAAGCATAAAATTTTGCTGCCTAAATGTCAAGATAGAACGGCGGCAGA